TAACTAGGGCGGCGCCATATTGCTTGTTTGGGAAACTTCTGAGAGTGGGGGAGGGAGGGGAATTTTTTTCCTCACGTCAGCGTTAACAGGCAGAAAAGTTTTGCGATTGCGAATGAAATTGTTCGCGTTAAAGAGATGTGTGTTTATTTGTAATATCAGAAATGTAAGTGCTTATGTGTGTGTATTCAGAGAACCAACTCGTAGAAAAAACCACCTCCCTAAGACGACCGCCTCTGAAAGAAACCAGTATTTCTGAAAACATAAGTATACTTTGGTATTGAATATTCCCTCTGTAAGGCGACCATTCACAAAGAAAATTCCGCAAGTGTGTCTGGTCGCCTTAGAGAGATTCATTCCGTAGATGAAATCTCCCTAAGACGACCACCTCTAAAAGATAACGTAGCTCTGAGAATGTGAGTATATATTGGTATTGAGCATCACCTCTCTAAGGCGACCACTTGCAAAGATGAATTGAGCATCACCTCTCTAAGGCAACCACTTGCAAAGATGAATTTTTATTTGCGGCTGGTCGCCTTAGAGAGACCTCGTTGTGTGTGGTGTATATGATTACTGTTATTGTTTACGAAAAAAATTTCAAATCAAATAAATAAGCCTATTTAGTAAAAACCCTCTCTAAAACGACCACCTGCATTCCCAGGTTACTCTGATGGTCTTAAAGATATCATATTTTTATTCTGTTAATTTTATTGTTTACAAGAAGTTTATTAACGTCAGATAAAAAAATAGCATAAACCCACATAAACCAACAGAAGATTTATTATTATATTGATACCAGTAAGAAAACCAGTAAAAGTCAATATAAACCTATACAAACCAGTACAAAGTTCTGCCATTGAAATGTTGGTTGTATTGGTGTCAATTAATACCAGTAAGAAAACCCACAGAGATCAATAGAAACCAGTAAAAGTCAGTGGAGACCATCAAAAATTCTATAGGTACCAGTAGAAAGTTTTACTGGTTTCTATGGGTCATTTTGAAACCAGTAAAAAAAACCCACAGAGACCAACAGAAACCAGTAAAAGTCAATAAAAACCCATAACATCTTATGGGTACCCATAAAAAGTTTTACTGGTTTCTATGGGGCATTTTTAGCAGGGTAATCGCGAAAAATTTCGGGTATCCTATGTCAATGAAAATATCTATTTTGACTGCTCTTGAATCTATTTGAACGATATTTTTGCATGGCATTTGTACGTATGGGCAGAATAAAGGGCTCTTTTTTCCAAAATAAATTGTAAAATGGATTTATAATGGATTCAGAAGATATTTTTTCGTCGTCACGAAAAAAATCTTCTGATACGTACGTGCATACACAATCTCTACGTACGTATGTTCTCGTATAACGTTGAAATTTTGTATATGGAACTCCTCTAAAATGTACTTGTGCACCTCCCTTTTTCGTTGCAATCAGTTGCACCAAACACACACACATATTTATATATTGTCCCTCTGTTACCCAGCTCGAGCAACAATTTAAAAGTGGCGCTGTTAAGTCTAACGAGGCGGCCATTTGTTTACATTTGAAACTTTTAATAGAATAATGAATTAAGTCACTTTTTGCATCAATTTCCGTATTTTTTTGACGAGTGGGACCAAAAATAAAAGTTCACTTTTGTGCACCGTTTTTCCTGCCCGCTGGCTGATTTCCTTGTTTTTGACAGCAACTGTAAAAATTGTTTATAACTCCATTTGGTATTTTATGTTTTTATATATTTTTGTCTTGCCGCAAATGAGAATTGAATTAATTGAATGAGAAATATATCTGTAATGAAATTCGAGGACATAAGTTTAAATGAAATGAAAAAAAAAATATAAATGTGTATAATTTAATAGGCCGTGCAAGGATGTCATGTGGTGTGCACATCAGATTTTTTCCAAATCAAAAACAAAAGCTTTCCAGAAGTAAAATATAGTTAATACAATTGTGCACCTATGATAAACATCCATATCATTAAAACCCTTTACATCATATGATGTATCAATCGTATTCTTGTATTTTGTAGGTATCATTCTTATTCTCACTTTGAGGTTGAGCCTCAATAGAAAACTGTATATGTCTCTTGACATTTTATATTATGGTAAAGGATTGCAACAGAACATCCTTCATATTTCACAGTGTTTCTTTGAATGAAGAAAGAAATATTTAGAGGAAATATACTTGTGTCTATTTACCTTTTACATAAATTCCTAATTATATATCCCTTAGTATATTCAAAGAAATTTTAATACTTTTATAGAAACTAGCTGTTGAAATACCTTTTCGTTCTCTTATGATGAAAATCTTTGCGATGTTGTTAAAAACTGCGTCAAGTCAAAAGTAAACATATCTAAATATCTATTTAAGTTGGGTACTGGTGCTCAGTGTAATGTATTACCACTGCTTAAATTTAAACAATTAATTAAACAATTAATAATTACAATTGTACTACAATTGATGTAGTCGGAAAATGCAAATTATTATGTGAAACATCGAAAGGGGACAAGGATGAAGTAGAATTTCAAGTAGTAGTATGTGATAAAACTGTTCCAGCTATTTTAGGTTTACCTACATTGGAAAAATTAGACCTAGTACAAAGGATTTGTACAGTAAATCCTGATTCTAATGAGAAGTTACTAGAATCTTTAAAAAGATATCAAGATTTATTTAAAGGAACTCGGAATTTAACTGGCTATACCTATCACCTTCAATTAAAACCAGGAGCTGTTGGTAAAATAGAGCGCTGTAGGAAAATTCCACTTAGCTTATTAAATCCATTAAAAAAGGAATTGGCAAGAATGGAAAAAGATGGTATTATAAAGAAAGTTAATCGACCTACAGAATTTGTAAATTCATTAGTTGTAGTAAGAAAAAAGGATGGTAATTTAAGATTGTGTTTAGATCCTCAGCACCTTAGCCAAAATATAATGAGAGAACATTATCACATACCAACCTTTGAAGAAATGTCATCTCAAATGACAAATGCGAAGGTGTTTAGTATTTTAGATGCACACAAAGCATTTTGGCAAATTAAACTGTCAGATTCAAGTTGCGAAGGTGTTTAGTATTTTAGATGCACACAAAGCATTTTGGCAAATTAAACTGTCAGATTCAAGTTGTGAATTTACTAAATTTAATACTCCGTTTGGCAGATATGTTTTTTAAGGTTGCAATATGGACTGAGTTCATCACCAGACGTTTTTCACAGAAGTTTTTCTGAAATTTTTAGTGAACTTTCACCAGTATATATTTGGAAAATATATTACAATGGAAAGTGACCATAAATTCTCGGAACCAGTTTTCATAAAGCTATTAAATAACTACCCAGTAAGATTACATAGAATGCGTATAAGATTACAGTTTGAGATAAAGTACAAACCAACCAGGAAAAGAACTTTTTATAGCGGATGCATTATCAAGATCATTTACTAATAAAGGATCTGATTTCTTTGAAGGAGACATAGAAGCTCATATTGGATTGGTTGTAGAATGTATACCAATGTCTAAAGGCAAAATGGAAATTTTTCAACTAGAAACAGAAAAAGATAAAGAACTACAAGTTTTAAGAAAATTAATTAAAACTGGATGGTTAAATGAAAAATGTATGGTTCCAGAATTGACAAAACCATATTTTAACTTCAGAGAAGAACTATCAGACGCAAATGGATTAATATTTAAAAATTCCTGTGTTGTTGTACCAAGAAATTTACGAAAAGATATGTTAAGCAGAATTCATTATGATCATTTAGGAGTACTAAAATGCAAGAGCAAAGCAAGAGAAATATTATATTGGCCAGGAATGCCAAAAGAAGTTGAAGATTTGGTATTGAACTGTCCAACATGTTTAAGTTTACAAAAAGCTAATACTAAAGAACCAATGATATCTAAAGAAATACCTGATGATCAATGGGAAGTATTGGGAACAGATCTCTTTTACTTTCAAGGAAGTATTTTAACATGTCTCTGTTTCAGTGGCATAGCTAGGGAACAGTAAGAGGAAACATCTGTCCCCAAACACACATCCAAAGGGAGACAAATTAAAGAAAGATGTTACGAAAATTTTAGGACGAAATGTTTTTTCATGCTTGGAAAACAGGAAGGATCTCCGGGCCCTGGAAACTCTAGCTACGGTTCTGCTCTGTTCTGCAAGAGATATTTAAGAGTAAGTTGTAATTTATATCAGTTAATTCATACTTAGGTAATTTTGTTGTATATTACGCTGAAATTATGAAGAGTCAAATGTAAACTGGGAAGAGACAGACTGACTGAGTAGATGGTTATGAAAGAAGATCAATAAAAACTCCACTGTCGGTCATATAGTAGAATGAAATGCAGGGTCTCTTTTTATTGTTATAAATATGACATTTTAAAATTGTGCTTCTTAATGCATTTCATACTTAAAAGTTTAAAATAATTCCCTCCCCCCCCTAAAACGTACCACTAATTTTTCAAAACTAATTTGGCTCTTCTCCTACCCGCTCATCTATTACACAATTTGCCTCATCTTTGTCTTGGATTCTAGTACTTCATGAAGATAATAGATTGTATCCCATATAAAGATGAGGTCAATAAAAACATTTTACAGTAGTTCATATTTTTCCGTTTTTATCCATCAACTTCTAATGAGCAAACAGGCAAAATGCATGAGGTTTATATGATTTTCCTCAAAAATGCAAACCAGTTTCCTTCACTGACATCTCAAGCATGGGCATAATAAATTACTTAAATACGTCATTGTATCAAACTGGAAGAGAAACATAGGAAAGTAAAATATAAAATTCAGCAAAAAAAAAGCAAACTTAGTTTGGAAAATTCATTTTTGCTCTTGAAGAAAGGGACTTATGCATAATCACCACCGAAATTGATAGTGTTTTATTCAAAAGCTATGCCAAACTAAGTTGCTTGTTTGCTCAAATTTGAAAAACACCTTGGTGTTTTAAGTACATAATTGTGTGTTAACAATTTACAAAAAATAAGTATTTTAAAAATGTGTAAATTTTACCCTTTTCCAAGATTTTTATCAACAAAATTGCTAATGCAGTTTGTGATTCTGTCAGGGCGAAGGCATCGTATTATTAGTAATCGCTGAAATTCATCACAGATATTCCGCCAGTTACCTTTAAAAAGAAAAATGTTAGAAGTTAATACTTATTAAATAATTTTAGAAATACACATTTCAGTCTTTCATACATATACCGCATTTTTACTATGGAAGAATTTAAATTTTTTTCTTAAATAACTTAGCTTTGGAACGGGCCCATTATCATCTAGATTTAGATATAGACGAAGCAAATTTTTTCTGAAATTTTATAATTTCAGATCATTATAGCACAACACGTGAGATGAAAAGATCAGTACATCATGAAACATACTGTTACGAAATGTACAGAGCGGTAAGATGGCTTCCCCGCAAAGCAGTTTTAGGGTTGCCATAAAATAGCAAGGGAAGGCAGGGTTGCCACATTTGGTGAAAAATCGCACATTCGGCGATATTTGGCGACAAAATTGGCGATATATCATGGACGGATGGAGAACCTTCTGGAACGAATTCTTACCGGTTTAGCCCAGAATGTTCTCGAACACAAGCTGAAAGCTATATAAACCCTGCTGGTCCACAGTCAGTCAGTGTGTCTCTCATCGAGAGTGAGTGTGTCTCGTCTAGCGAGTCAATCCCTGCGGAATCGATCGAGTTGACAGCCGGGCAGCGAGTGCCGAGTGGGTCGTCGAGTGCACCGAAGGAGTCTGTTAGTGTATCGCGGTTAGTGCATCGTAGAGAGCGTGTTGAGCTCCGGGAACGACTGAACCGAAGAGTCGGGAGCTGTGCTGGTGTGCCGTCGAGTGCATCGCGAGTTGTAGCGTGGAGAGTCTCGATAGTACGTGGATCGCCCAGCTCAAGCATTTCCCTACCTGCAACGCTCTTAGTAGCATCTAAATCAAGACAGCCGGAACACACACAGCACGTAATTACTGCGTGCTAATCGCGGCTTAAACAGGAACTTGGAGTACGTGGAGTTCCGAGAACGACCAAGCAGAGTCGGATGCTTTGCAGGAAGCTGTCTCCACCATGATAGCCTGATAACCTGAAGGCTGTGTCGCTGATCGTGTCAGCGTGTTTATAGTAGTTTATCGACGACTTTAAAACGTGTTTTGGAGCTGTCCTGACAATACTGCCAAATAAAGTGTGTTTCGATACTTCATCAAGTGTCGTCGTTTTTCACTCCAAATCCACACAACCACACAAACTCCGTACGAACGTGAAGGAAGAAAATAACGCAACAACTGGTGTCAGAAAAGAGAAAGAAAATTAAAAAAAAAAAAAAACGCAACAATACACTGAAAAAAATTAAATAGCTTGGTTTAAGAAATTCGATTTATGAGTCCTTCAACAGCTTAAGGAAATTTATTTGATGAAATGCATTAGCATGTGCGAATCGCTTCTGAAACACAAGGAAACTTATCCATTTCTGAAACGACTGACTACTGTGATAAAAATTATGCTCTTAGTTTGGTGTGATCATGAAGACATACTTTGAACACTTTGAACTTTTACGAAGAAACCAAACGTTTGATTTAAACGTCTACGTTCAACAACTCACCAAACTGAGCAATGCACTTCAAGAAAAGCGGCCAGAATTGGTTTGGTTTAGTCCGGTTTATTTTAATTATGGCAAAGCACGCAAGGGCTATATGCCTGAGGAAATAGATGCCTTTGGTGGAGGACCTTCTAAGAGAACTCGCTCGCATACACGTTACACATGGGAAAAAACACGAAAACGCACATGTAGCTTGTGGAGCAGTCACCACTGAAAACGAAAGCGATTAAGCTGTTCCTCCGACGTTACTCCCCCCACCCACTAACCGAAATTGGACTCAATAACGCTTGTACCATTGCTAGATATTTTTTCTTCTTCTTATATTTAATACATATGCTTTTCGTGTGCTAATAATAATGATCGTGCTTTTTGTATATAGCAAGATGGATTATCCATTAACAACGTTCATTCTGTTTTATTTATCTGTTTGTCGGAAATAACCAGCGTCTAGATAGTAAACAAATGAAACGCGCGAACCTTCAACGTTTGATAAAAGTGACTGCAAGCTCATGAGACGGATTGCACGTTTACTTCAACCAAACGCGTAAAACATATCGAGATATGCTATTAAGAATAAAAATACAAACAGAAAGGATACTTTGTCTTAAATTACCCCTACATAATAAGCGTAGATAATCTGAAAAAGAAAAGCCAAGCCTGTCTTCAAAATGCGAAACAAAACTAACATAGTTATGTACTGCGCATTCGAGAAAAAGAAGCAGAAATGGCTACTAGCTGCGAAAATAAATATTCGATTATGAAACTAAACTATAACAAATATGAACTATAGAAATACAAACGTGAAATTATTCTGAAAAACAGAAAATTTATGGGATTTAATCGCAAACGGTACACCGAAAGAAATCAACGCTGAGTGGATAAAACAAGATGAAGAAGCACAAGCTATCATATCATAAGTTTACTTATAGAAGAAAAACAGATCGTACACATAAGAAATAAAACAACAGCTAAAGAGATATAGAACGAATTAAAGAGGAAAATTCATGAAAGAAAAATTCTTTCACGTAAACTTTACCTTCTCAGAAAGCTATATACGTTAAAAGCAGGAAACGAACACAAGCTCGAAGAACAACACATCAACAAAACGCTCGACTTAAGGAATTGGTGAAGAAATAAGGGACGGTCACATTGCAGTTCTCTTACTGGCTTACCAAAAAGATACGAAAATCTTATTACAGCTTTAGAAGCACTCTCAGAAGAACTAACGTTGGAATACGTAAAAATGAAACTCATCGATGAATTCTTAAAAAAGAAAAGAAGGCACGCGAACAGAAGAAACAACTGCTTTCAAAACGAATTTTAACACAAAATTCAAGCATTTTAATCAATAAAGATGAAATTATTGAAAAACATTAAGACACTTCGGAAAAGAATGCAGATTCTTAAATAACCACAAAGAAAAGACAAAAACGTAAATAACTCATTTGAAAAGCAAGCGAATAAAGGGAATTATGGGAATAAACAAAAAACGAAAGTTGCTGTAAGCGAGGATACACACGAAGATGAAAACAAAAATAAGAAAGTCGGGAAGATTGAGAATTAGACGTTCGAAGTCATCAGAGAAAGAAAATTTTAAAACTCAAACTGGTCAGTTGATTCAGGAGCCACCTGTCATATGACCGATAACATCAATTGTTTCACGAAATTAGGTAGAAGCAAAAATGAAAAAATAACAGTTTGCTAACGGTACTCAGATGAAGTCCGAAGGCATCGGAGAAGGATACTTAACTGAACAGACGGGGACGAAGTTAACGAAATTAGAAGTAAGACTCATATACGTTCCTGACCTAGAAGGAAGATTAATATCGGTATGAAAAATTACAAAGAAAAGTTTTACAGTTGAGTTTGAAGAAGATATTTGCAGAATAAAGAAGAAAAATAAAGGAATAGGAATTATTAAAGCAGAAGGAAATTTATATACCATAGCGGAATTACAAAGAAAAAAAGGCTAAATTTGCAGCTGCTGAAGGGAGTGAAAACAGCACAGATCATTGGCATGGAAGACTAGGACACAAAATTATGAATCAATCAAGAGGCTAAAGAACCTGGTAACCGGAATAAGGATCGACCGAGAAACTAAAAAAAAAAAAAAAAAAAAAAAAAAAAAAAAAAAAAATGCGAATCCTTGTATCAGAAGCAAAACGTCTGAATTCCGTATCGCAAGCTAAACAACTATAGAGCAAAATCAGTTCTAAAATCGATACATTTGGATATTTGTGGGCCGATTGTTACAACATCACTAAGAGGAAAGGAATACCTCATAACATTCATCGACGATCATTCGAGATACACAACGGTCTATTTGCTAGCTACAAAAGATGAAGCTATCTCCAAGTTAAAGCAATTCGTAACCACTACAGAGATCGAATTTGGAAAGAAGTGAAAAGTCTTAAGAACAGACAATGGAGGAGAATATACAAACAAAGAGATTGAAGATTATCTAAGGGAAACATCAAAGCTCCGTAGCATATTCACCGCAATAGGACGGTAGAGCAGAAAGAAAAAAAACAGATACTTAATGGAACAAGATGCCTGCTACTCGATTCAGGACTCAAAAGATAATTTTGGGGTGAAGCCGTGATGACAGCCACCTATCTACAAAACAGGCTACCATCAAGATCAGCGGAAAATACACCGTAGGAGCTCTGGACTAATAAGAAGCCGAACTTAAGCCATATCAGAGTTTTCCCGTTAATTGATGGAAATATAAAATTACACTGGATTCGAGGACATACCGGAATTTATGGTAATGAGCTTGTAATTTGAATGCAAAACTTGCTACTGAAAAGAGCTTTGTACATATAGAAACTCTTTTTGAAAGTTTTAAAGGAATTCTTATAAGTAAAGTAATTGAAATTTATTTGGCAAGAACTCTGGACTAATGAAGGTCAACATACTTAAATATTTGAAGATAGTTGATAAAAAGAGGGGTAATTTAAATCAATTTCTTACAAATCATGCACATATTCCAGCTAATTATAATCTCTTTGCGATTTAATTAATAAGTTGTAAATGTGGAAATAAAAACACTGATGTTGAACATGTTATATTATGTGATTCTTTAAGAAATAAAAGAATTCTTTAAGATTGGGCTTTTAACAGCTCTCCAGAAAACTAGTGACTTAAATAAACGATATCAAAATGAAACAACAGAATTAGGTTTAGTAAAGATTTTAAAATAGATAACAAAAAAAAGAAAATGCCTTATATGTCAATTATGTGATTATAAAAGAACTGTTACTAGATTCTGTAAGATCAAATGATCCAAAGACAAGTTTTAAAATAATTGTTATTACTTTGTAGGTGATTAAGGTATATCGACATAAATGTATTGTGTAATTATGTATTCGATTTGTAACACGGTTTGTATATATAATAATATTTTTATTGTATACATAATATTTTTATTGTATACATAATATTTTTATTGTATACATAATATTTTTATTGTATACATAATGTTTTCATTGTAAACCTAATAAATGGTTATTTAAGTTTGTAAG